TTGCCACTCCATTCATTTTGCTTGTATCTCATACTGCAGCTCCAATCCTTTTTCTGTTTTTGGTTTTTCAGACCCTTAATTTTTCAAGGCTGTGGCCATGTGTTATTTGTCTATAAAGCAGGACACTGAAAATTTAATTCTGATTGGGAACTGTGAGCACTAATAAAAACAAAGATAAATATAACAATATCACCTGATTCATAATTTCTGAAAACTGTGGAAGTTTACTCAATTCTACCAAATTCAGCCATGTCATATCAAGGATCCACCGGAATGGTTTGGGAGGACAAGCTTTTAGATCCAGCGCTGCACCTCCTAGAAAGAAACATCATTGTGATAAAATACATACGATGCAATTTGATATTTGTTTGGGAATACTACAGCAATATGACTTAAAACAACTGCATAACAATCAGGGTTTCTATATTATGGGCATGTCAACATACAGCAGAAAATATATTTTAGAACTTTAAGAGGGAGATTATGGCAGAGCAAGAAGAAATAAAGGTTGCAGTGTGTATTTCTTTTCACCTTGTTTTCAGATGATCTAAAACAGTAGTTCCCAACCTCCTTAGACTCAAAGCACACCATAGAATATGCCAGCTCTTAGCATTCACTTGTTTTTTTTACTACAGAAAAAAACAATAGAGTTCTTCTGTTGCAAAAAACTCAGACCACAACAGGTCAGTGTGTTTTTCACACTACAGGTTTCAATCCTTGTGATTTGTGTGTAGGTGTTTGCTAGGGCTGTGCAAAGGTTTGGGTGGTGATTCAATTTGGAGGAAATTCGGCCTGATTCGGTGGCTGAATCTCTGAATCTGAATCGAATCAGGGGACCAATTAAAAGGTCCAAATCAATTCAAAGCTCTCTGAATCTTTGGAAAAGATTCAGAGAGCTTTGATGATTTGCACAGTCCCTACCTGCTGTACCATGGAGCTGCAGTCAGACTTGAAGCTGGTAAAAAGGAGGTGGGAGAGAGGGGTCTGGGGGAGGGGACCATGGGGGAACACCTGCTAGACCCCCTGACCCCTGCCTGCTCCAGCTGGTACTTTAAAAAAAGGCCCTACTCACTGGGTGCTGCCCAGCAGGGGGGCAATTCTCTCTGCCCCCCACTGCATGGGGGGCTCTGCCATGAGCCCCACAACCCCCTCTTTGCTCCCCCCTCACACCCCCCTCACGGCTGCCCAACCCGGATCAGCTCTGGCCCTTTAAAAAAAAAAGCAACAAGAAATAACGCAGGATTCACCACTCCTGGAGTGGCCTTGGAGCTTTGGGGGCTCATGCAGAGCCCCCCATGTGGCATGGGGCAATGCAGGGCAGTGGGAATCACCCCCTACTGGCAGGAGCAGTGAGTCCAGGAGTTTTCTCATTTTGTTTTTTTTCTTAAAGGGCTGGATCTGGCCCAGGCAGGGCACCCATGGGGGGGGCTGGAGGAGCAAGGAGGGAGTTGGGGGGTTTGTGCAGAGCCCCCCACACAGCATGGGGCAGTGGGGGGCAGCAGGAATCGCCCCACCTGCCTGGCAGCACCTGGTGAGCACCAGGGCTTTTTTTCTGCCAAAGAGCCAGGAGCTGGGGCAGGTGAGGCAGCCATTGCCGGGCTGGGACAGTGGGCAGAGGATGGGCCTGGGTGATTTGAATCACGGAATCGGGACAGTGATTCAAATCACCAAATCGAATCACTGTCCCCCGACTCAGCCGAATCTGAAGCGAATACTTGCCACTTCGCTCAGGCCTAGTGTTTGCACACCTCAGAGTGCTAATACTGAGCATCACCCAGTGACATGCTTAAAAGATTTCAAGGCACTCTGGTTAAAAATCACTGGTCTAAATTTTCTAAACGTATTCATTGTGACCAGCTATGTCCACACCTCTGAAATGGTGACCTACCAATTTAAATCCTTTAACACACTTTCTAAATGTAGGCATCCCTATAAATATATTCCTAAATACAATTTGCATGTATATATGTATGTTAACACACTTCTTTAGTGATATAATGTAGAAACTCATATTCTCAAGCAAATTTGACTGATTTGTGTGAAATCCTAATGACACAGTGAACTGTGCACTGATGAGCAATTACCAAATGTTTTTGTTCATCCCCTTGAAAAAATAATTGCATACAGTGTTTGCACCTAGAAAGTTTTTTCTGGATGAGATAGACTGCCTATATTAAGTAAACTGAAACCTGAAAAAACTTTGAAAATGAAAGAAACTTTTCATTTTACTAGGTTTGTTTTTCTTTAATACAATATAATATGGCAATGCAGGTATTACTGTAACAATATATGACCACAGGCAAAGCTGACTCCAGCTCTAAAGGCAATTATCTTTGTTTTGAACCCTGTTTTTAGCTTTAAGATGTATCCCTGAATCCATTTCATAATGCTTCAGATCTAGAATATACAAGCAGTCGTCTTCATTTTTATAGGAGGATACTGATTACACACTGATGTCTTTAATAGTTTATCTCAAAACTATTTATCATCCTGACAATTTCCTGATATTAGGTTGTTTTACTGTACAGGGAATTCTTTGGATGAATTTTCTTCTATTTCATTTATTATAATGATGTATTGTAGATTGTTTTGCATTTACTTTTAAGAAGAAAAATATTTCTTTATGAAGAATTTATCCTTAGATAGTACTTTTAATAAACAGCAGAGAAGGAAAGCCAAAAGGGAATCTTGTACTGTCAAAAATACATTGCACATTCACCTGCAGTTCTGCTTCCTTTCTAATACTTAGCATTTCTATAATGTTCACAGAACATTATAGATATTACTAAACTAGTCCATGAGGATGGTGGAAAGCCAAGGAAGGAGGGGAGAGAACGTGGAAAGGTAGAAGAAAGAACAATCAATCTGGTCTGAAGAACCTTATCTTGAATGAATAACAACAAAAGGCCCAGCAAGCTAGGAAAGCATATCTGTGTTCCACAGTGTCTGACAACACAACTGGAGAGGAAATGCAAGTGAGCATCTCTGGAAGAGAAGTACAAACCAGTTGTTACAGACTGGGAGAAAGGTCAGGATCTGAGTCAAATATTTTTACTATAATTTCCTTTTTCTTAGTAGCTTCTTCCATCATAAATGCATTATGCCTCTTTTCTGGGAGCCATTAAGGGTTTCCAGTGGTGTCTCGGAGGCCTCCAAAGCTAAACTGGCTCCCTCATTTCAGGCTACCAGAATAATGCTTCTAACGGTGTAGAAACACTCCAAAAATTGTGTTAGTTCTAAAAGAGTATCTTGGAAAGTATGTTGACTAAATAGAGGTAACTACGTGTAAGTATCCTTTTAGCTGAAAAAAATACAAAATGTTACAACTTTCATTGTAATGATGCAATAGATTAGACGGGGATGTAAAGTGAAGGGACAGAAGGAAGGAAATAAGAGCAAGCAATTTTCTGATCTGTTACACAACTCTGGGGCCTCATTCTGCATGAATGAGATTCTGCCATAATTGAATCACATAAGTAGGAATGGAAAGGGCAAAATAAAAATATTATTACAGGGTGCATCTACATGTGTGCTTTCCTGCAGTTGACTAATCAGCTCTGCAGTAAAGCATCACTGTCTACATGTGTGCTGGTATTAGGGCACAGAAAATTAATTAACTCTGCCATAAGATAGTACTATCCCTGGCAGTACTATCTTACAGGGGAGTAATTAAGTATGACAAAATGCACGTGTAGATGGTAACAGGGGCAGACCAGGGCATGAGGATGCTAAAGTGCAGAGGCTGCCTGTCATATGGCTCTGCAATTTAGCACTGTTATGCCCTAGCCAGTCCTGATGTCACCCAACACTGCCACCCAGAGCCTGGGGCTGATCCCCCCCAAACCTGCTGTTAGCCCAGGGCTGCTCCGCCCTGGCTCAAACTGTAAACACTGCATCTGGGAGCAGCTGACTCAGGCTTGAACTGGTCTGTGCTTTATTGAGTCATGTTAATTCATGTGAAGATGCACCTACCTTAGACTAAAAAAAATAAATAAACCCCTCAATACAAAGTAAATGCTTTATACTTTAAGAAATTTTTGAGGACCATCCCCGTCTCAAAGTTGACTGTACTGAGGAACAAAAACTCAATTTGTAGAGTGTGATCAATGTACTACAAAGATTGTTTTTTGCAAATTCCAACGCTATTGAACATTTTTTTCCAAAATGCCATTACAGACATTGTAAAGGGAAGTCTTGATTCTTTCAGAAATGTTTCCCTGCATGCCTCAAAGATTCAGGATTTTTTTCCCATCTTTTTGAGATTACTTTTAGGGGCAAACACCTTTGCATTCTGAATGAATGAATAAAGCATGTAACAAAAGATTATGTACATTTGAGATACATCTTTGGAGCTCGCTGAAAGTGTGTTTGGAGTAAAATCTTCCTATGGCATTGTTAGAATTTTCTGCTAACATCTTATTATCTACGGGTTATTGTGGCAAAGAGTTGCACAGGAAAACTGTGGCTTGTATAAAAAATATTTTCTTTAACAAATTTTGAATTTGCTGCCAATTTATAAGTTTTAAACATTCTGGAATCTAGAGAGATTGGGAGGGGGTGCAGTTCTCTGCCAATATGCTTTCTACTTTCTAAGTTTAAAAGGTCTGTTAACTCACCAATAAAGATTCAAAATATTTTTTTATTTTAAATGCATCTTTTTTACTTTTTACCTCTAATAAGTGCTTGGAACTCTCTGGTTTTGACGTGTCCCCTCTGAAGATCAATTTTTAATGTTAGAAGAAGGGTAAAGAGGAATTTGTGGTTTTCATACAAGCCTCTGACAGAGTACATATAAGTTTCATACGTAAGGTATTCAATAATATTTGAGATTCTTTTCTGAGGCAAAGGAGACTTCTCAGATCTAAAGCATGAAAAGAAAACACATAGAAATGGTATAAATAATATTGATATTAATTGTAGTTGAAAGCTAAATGTTCCAATCATAGATAGATCTGTATTATCATACTTGGCCATGGACTGGTCAAATAACTTTAAGAACTGGGCCAGTGAAGTTTGGTACATGTTATTGACCATGCTCATTTCTGTGATAAGAAAGTAAAGAATGCTTCCTCGTGTAGCAGCAGGTCGATATTCCTCTTGTGCAGTATTTATCTTCACTTGAGTTTCTCCTGCCACATATAACTTTTCAGCTACCTCAGCTGCTGTTTGTTTAGTTGTTCGCAGAACACCAATCAAAGATTCATCATCTACTAGAGAACCTAAAATGTTAAATATAAAATATATTTAGAATTGGTTTTAGATTTTCCACATGCATGGTTTTAAATGAAAATTAAAATGAAAAAGTTATTCATTCTGAATGACCTACTGAATTTCACAATTGCACACCAAATAAAACAAGTACAGAATCAAAATACTAAGTTTTGTATACTAGAAAATTGCACTGATGCAGCTTATTTTGACATAGCTGTACCTTGGCTAACTGCAACTGTGCAGTGTATCTACAACAGACACCATTCTCCATCACAGGGGTCAGCAACATTTTTGGGCAGAGGGCCAAAAACACCTGGAACCTTGACTTTTTAGAAGTTGGTGCCAGGGGTGGATGGCAAGGTACCTGTAAGGGGCCCAATTCTTTCTGTGGCAGTGCAGCCCCAGCCCCTTACCCACCATCCACCCCAAAGTGCAAGTGCCAAGCAAAATGCCCCATGTGCCAGGGGTTGCCTACCCCTGCTCTATCACATGTTCTGAGCATGCTCCATCCACACGGAACACTCTTAAAAACTATTTCAGGATCTCTAGACTGTTGCACTGAAAGTCAACAGGACTTAAAAGCTTCTAAATAGCTTAGATTCTTTAAAACTATTATCCTATATCCTTTAGAAAGCACACCGGCAGTTTTAAATCTGCCTAGTTCCATTAACTTTAACGAAGCTACCTACATTTTCACAAAACCTGAGTATCTGTCATAAGCAGTTTTGAATCTTTGTGTTACAGTCTTATTACATTCATTAAACTTCCCCTTCAGTGGCAGTGACAGTGTTTCCACCCAGGTCAAGACTTCTTTTTTTTTTTTTAGTGTTAGAGCAATGCCTCTTTCAGTAGAGGCACTGACATACTAGTTAACTAACTTTTACCTTCTTCTTTAAAAAGATACCTCAGAAAGGGTCTGTGTACTAACTCACAAACGTACTCCCAAGGAAAGGAGCAAAAGAGAGAGACAGTCCACCAAATAATGCTCAGTCTTTATTCATGTATTCTGCTCCTAGATGTGGTGTCAGGGTTCAAACAAAGAGAGTCAGGGTTCTATTATGGTAGCCCAGTTTCAGCTGCAGCACGCCTCCAGGATTCAGGTGGATAATACCTTAATTAGGCTTAGATTAGGTCAAAAGGGGAAACTGGCCCCTATACCAGCATATAGGAGCCAAAATGATCACCCCCCAGTTTGGATAATTAATTTGGGTGTTGAGGAACTTCACAAAACAGAGAAATGAATTCGGACCCAGGGGCTCTGAGTAGGGTGGCCATCACAGTCCACTTGGCCTCTGTCCTCTATTGATATGAAACCTGACGCCTTTATGTCCTATAGTTTTTTCTTCAAGAGAAAAATAGAGGACATAAAGGCGTCAGGTTTCGTATCAATAGAGGACAGAGTAGCAGAAAACCGGAATGTCCTCTATGATGGCCACCCTAGCTCTGAGATGACAATAAAACTGTTTCACAGCATCTGTACCATCTTAGAGGCAGGTCTTTTGGACTTTCTCAGTCTCAAATACATCTTGCCCCCATGAAGTTTTCATTTTTACAAAGGAGCCCTATGCAACTTTCCCAAATCCTGCCTCTGCATTTGTACAGAACTGTATCCATTCGTACCCATTTGTAGAGGTCTACTTAATTTGTGGTTTCACAGATTTTGCAGAAACCATGAAATCTGGAATTGTCTGCAAAATCCATGCAATCAACAAAAAAGCCCACCTTAATAAAAATAAAATGCTGGCTCCCTAGTGGTCCTCACTGCTGGGAGGGAAAAGCACCAGCTGAAGGGGTAGCACAAAGGCCAGTAGGCAAGATGGCTGCTGCCACATCATCCCTTCTCCCCCTCCACCAATCAGCATCATGGGCCAGGACCACACAAAGAGCAACCAGAAATCAAGATGATGGCCACCCCCTCAACTCTCCGCCCCCTGGGGCCTCTCTGCCAATCAGCGCTGAGGGATGGGGCTGCCATGAAATGAATGCAGAGTGAGAACTTTATGCCATGATCAACCTATGAAAATTGGTAAATACCCCCATGATTTAGGTAGACTCCTACATAGAAGCTCACAGAAACAAGGTTCACTTTATGAATGCAAGACTGGTCAGCTTCCTCCACTAGAGCAGTGGTTCTCAAACTTTCTGGACTTGAGGCATCCCTCACTGAACTGAAGGCAACCTTCACTGGATTTGAGACAATCCTCCATAACTTTTGTGAACTGAGTGGCATACACATTTCAAAAATTAATGTATAGATTACAGCACTTACTTTCTTGCAGAAGGGAATGGCAGTGGGGCTGGGGGATCTTTCAGGCAAGCAGAAGCCTCTGCCTGTGCTTATCTATTTAATTTATCTGCTTATCTCCTAACACCTTACTTATCTCCTCATCTCATGGATCCCTTCAAAAGTTCCTAGAGGCACTTTTGGATGCCCTGGCACCCTGGTTGAGAATCACTGCTTTACAGCAGGGATTGGCAACATTTTTGACTGGAATGCCAAAAACACCCCAACCCTGACCCACGTCTTGATTTGGTGTGGCAGGGGCAGACCGTGGGGAGATGGGAGGGGCCTATCCTCATTGCCACCAGCAGCTGTATACAGACCTCTGGGCAGACAGCAGAGGAGGAGCCAGGGTTGTACTGCTCCAGGCCTCTCCCCTGCCCTCCACTCAGAGGCGCATGTACAGTTGCTGCTGGCATAGAGTCCAGCCAGGGCTCTGGAGCCCAGTGCAACTGTCTGCAGCCTCCTGGCTACTGCCTGCCCCAGCTCTGGGCATCTTCTGCCAGCCATGGAGCCTGGGCTGCTTGCAGCAGAGCTTGTAGCCTCCCAGCTGCCTTCTGCAGGCAGCCCAGACTCCATAGCTGGCAGCAGCTGCCCAGAGCCTGGGTCAGCTGTGACGTGCTGAGCAAAATGGCCTTGTGTGCCATGCTCTGGTATGTGTTGGGGGTTGCCAACCCCTGCTTTAGAGGGTAATCTTGGTTTTGTGTACTCAGTGCCTCTGTGGAAGGACTTTGATGTAAACCACCATTTTATTTTGTTTACAAAAATCTCATATTCTCATATTTTGCATATTAATACAGAACCTTTAGTTGCACTTAGTTTGTAGAGAAGATTATCTTCAAGTTCTTTCATCTTTCTCTTATTAAAAGTAACATCTTCCATGAGTTTAATTCGTTCTGCTTCGAGCTCCTATTGTCAAAAACCAATTGTTAAAATTGTTTATAGATACTATTAGTGTATTATATTTAAAATGCACTTTTCCATATTTCACTTTAGTAGAGTTTAAATTGTATTTTCAGTTATTTTAAGTTTTCACATTTTGAATAAATGGTATTTGCATAATGATCTTTTATTTAACTGTTTAGCCAGTGTTTTTTTTCTGTGTTCATCCATCTTAAAGTATCTCACTAAATGTCTACTGCCAATATGCAATTATTTCTAATGCCAATAGAACTCTTCATAGAAAATCCGGAAGTACATATTTCTGTTATTTAAAAAAATCCAATCTGAAACTTAATAAAATATTGTAAAATGGTTTGTCATTCTCTGCCTGCATTTTCCTTCTTCCAATACTACTAAAAGCAGTTGGATAAACCACAAGTAAGCATCACTGAACTTTGTTCATCTTAACAGCTTACCTGTTTCTCAGTAAGAATTACTCTTCTTAGTAATTGATTTTCAAGTCCCTTCATTGTAACAGTAAAATCAATAACTGATGTTTTAGCATTGATCTCAGGTGTGAAAGCTGGATTGGGTAGTTTTGTAGTAATGTATAGCTTAAATGTATTCATTACATCTATTTCTTTATCACCAACTTTCACCTGTAGAATAAATTAAACAAGTGTTAAAAAGAAGAAAAATAATTTGCTTTCAATCAATCATGTTAACTGAACACATAATAGACCAAGCAAAAACATTTTAATTTTGGAAATATTAAACAAAGAAGACTATTGGTATATTTAGACCTCATATTTGCCATGAAAAAAAGTTCTCTGTGTAATGTTCAAGAACTAACGGTAGTGGTTAGCAGCCATGGTGAGTTATAAAAGTATTAGCATCTAAATACATGGAGAGAGTGCTTTCAGTGTAGAGCTCGATCTGCTTCAAGAGCATTAGACTTAATTCCTGATGTTATGCATAGCTAATCAGAGGTCAAGCTAAATGCTTAAGTGGTAATGTCAGAAAGTTTGAGCATTGCTCATGATTTCCCTTTTAATATACAGGCTAGGGGACCTGGGCTGCTTCAAACAATAGTGCAGACTCAATGGAAAGAACCAGGGGGCTGAATCACCTCTTCCTTAAGCAAGTTTCTTCTGCTGTTTTACTACTTCAGATAAAAATGGAAAGGATGAGTAACTGTTTTATATAGATAATTCCCAATAATACCAACAATCTGGTCTATAATCTTTTACCTGTTCTCTTCAGCTTCTAGCTTAGTTATGGACAATTAAACTGAAATATAATGAAGACTTAAAAATAACCAGATTGGTCTTTTTGGTCTTTATGATGAAATAGGATGCAGTTATTTTAGTTGAGGATACTTCTGTTTTTCTCTGTTATAACTTATGAAGGTTATTTTTTGGTCTTGTGACAGTATCAGTGGTGGAAGACATGTCAGTGTGGGGAGGATCAGAAGGAAAAAATGTGTGCATGAACAAGGAAGATGGACACTTTCAATATATCCTGTGGAAAAATCAAACCTATTGAATTATATGTAGCGTGCTCTTATATTACTAAATTAATGTGAAAGGGCTACACAAGTTACCTGAGTACAAAATTAAGAGATAACACAAGAAGTCTGAGATATTGCTTATTATTAACCAAATAAACATACATCTTGAATTGTTCTTTCTGAGAATGTATCGACTGTTTGAAGATCCCATGTCATAATGATCAGCCCTCTGGTATAGACAGACAGATAATGTTCCTTCGGCTGTTGGTGGGTATTGGGAGAATCACTTATAAATCAACAGAAAGTGCCTCCACCTTTCAATAGGATGAGCACAAATGACGGGTGGACCAGAAACTTCAGGACTGACCCTTGTAATTAAACTCAGATTCTCACACAGCAACATCATTTATATTACCTCAGAAAATAAAGTTTGCACAGTTTAGCACAGATATGGAAGTTAAAGAGAGAAGTATATTATTTATCATGAGCTCTTCTGCTAAGGAACTAACCTTGTAAGAGGAACCTGATTTAATGAAATTCTTTTCTAATATATTATCAAGGGCAGGATCCAACTCTTCACCTATATCCTCAATAACAAGTGATCGTCCCAGTGAAAGGCTGTCCTCCAAATGTGTGCGGAAATACTTGTGATTTAAAGTTGTCACCTTAAAAAGGAAATAATGAATTGGCATAAAGATAAAAGTACTTCTTCAAAGTACTATGTAAAAACTGCAAATCTTTTTGGAAAAATACTTTTTAATTTTTAAAAAACCAATGGATTACGTCTATTTGCTTTACTATAGCAATCTCAAAATTTATGTGGTAAGAAATACTTCTTGTTACAACTACAAAGATAAGTTATAAAAAAAGCTCTGAAGAACAGAAAATGATCCCAGAGATTGATTGTAGTAAGATAAGAAGTCTTTCACTGCTGGGTACCCAGAATAAATCTGATACAGATTGTTAGCAATTATTTTTTACTACTAGACAGCCATTTGGTATTTTCAAACTCAGCAACTGCTTCTCTATTCTGTTCCCTTCATGAAGATTTTCTAGCTGAACCACAAGGGCTGAAATTTGAATTCAGTCTCAGAGAAATATCAATAGTTCACTGAAAAATCATGAGCCATGGTCAGAAATCATAACATTGGATAAAAATTGTGATTAGAAACAAATATTTTTTAAAAATTGCCCCCTGGGTTTTGAGCCTGTAGGTCATATTTCCAAGTATTGGATGAAGTAGGCTGTCACCTACATAAACAAGTTAATCTCTAATGGTGCTTGTCCATGTGACAAAAATGGGCTGTTTTCGTAGTTGTCGCAGAGCACTTAGGTGCCCTGCGCCTGAGAACAGAGACGGCTCAAGAGAGACCCCTAGCGATGAGAAGGGGGAGGCGCAGCAGCCAGTCACCAGGGCAGCACAGGTGCTGGTTGCTGGGGCAACCAGCGAAACCTGCTGACAGGAAAGGGCATGGCTTAACCCTTCTTAAGCCCAGGTGGGAGGCCAGGGTGGCAGTTCCCCTCTGGCAGCCAAGGAGAGGGGAGCTCGGCCAGTGCGGAGAGAGGGGCAAGGATTGACTGCATGAGCATCCCCTGGTTTGCTACCATGGGCTGGAGTATTTTTCCCAGTAGGGATCAAATGTTGTTTGACCGGACGGTTTAGTTTTACGTTATAGCCCAGGGGCTTTGTGTTTACTGTTTTACCAGAGGACCGGGTGAGGCTATTAGGGGTTGGAGGAGGCCTCATAGGGACCCCATGGTAGCATGGGGGTCCTGGCGCCAGAGAGGGCGCAGCATCTTGGGGGTGCATTGGCCCCAGCCCCAGAGCGAGAGGGGGCAGCGAGGAGCCCCGAGCAAAGAAGGGAGTGCAGTGAGGAGCCCCAGCGAGGTAAAGGAGAGGACCGAATTACAGTAAGGCCCAGGTCAAGATCCTGGCGGTACCATCTGCGAAGCTTGGGCTGCGGTGTAGGGGAGAAAAGGAGCTGCAGATAGCACCCCCTGGCACTGGGTGTAGAAAGTGGGCAGCCTCCCGCTAATTACATCATTCAATCAATTAAGATCAAGGTGTGGCAGGCAAGTAAGCAGGCGGCTGGCCCATAACAGGAGAGCTGAGTCATCACCAAAACGACTCCAGCAGCAATACTCCTGTCACAGTAGTTTAACTGCATCACACTGTACATGTGCGGGGGGAGGGGTTTATGATTCAAATAAGTTTGCTACATTGCAAACTAAACCACATCCACACGTAGTTTAGTTAGCAACGTAGCTACTTGTAATGTTGCAGCCTTTGACAGCTCACCACATCCCCACCGCAGGAGAGGTGGGCTAAAGGAAGAAGTGGTAAAGGACCTGACCCTTTTTTTTTCATGGAGCCTGCCCACCTCTCCCATCACCAAGGAGGCGAGTTGCTGGTGGGCCCTGAGCTGCAGGGAGCCCCATACTTTCCCTCCACACCAGCAGTGTCCCCTGGGCAGCATGTGCCCACTAGTAGCCCACTCAGGCAGCCCCGGGTGATGCTGCTGCCACAGAGGGAAAAACCAGGGCTGCCAGCAGCTCACCTCCTGGCCACAGGAGATGTGGGCAGGCTCTGTATGGAAAAAAAGGATCAGGCCCCTCATCGTAACAGTGATGAAAACCCCTAACTTGAAACAGTGGCTTTTTAGTCATTGCAATTAAATACCATTTCAATTTAGGAGACTAAACCCGTTACATGTACAAGTGGCCTAAAGTGCCACCGTGTTGCCATGCTTTCTGTCTTACTTCAAACTAACATGATTAACAATCTCTCTCTGTCTTTCCATAGCAATGAGGCCTAGAAACCTACTGTTCTATTAAATGAAGACTGAAATTCTTAGTCATTTTACTTTAGAAGCTGAATCTAGTGGAGCAAATATTTGCTTGAAATATATACTAGAAAAACAGCAAATAATATAAGCCTCATTACGTAACTGTGAAATTTGACACTGACATTAAAACTGTAAAAAATATAGGCTTTCCTGTCTGAGCTACTTTAGCTAATCTGGCTTGTTACTCTTGTGCATTAGGTTATAATGTCACTGCAGTGAAAATTTCTTATGTTCTTTTGCATAAATGGACTGTTTAACTTGATTTAGTTTGTAAATCTATTATTTTAATATCAATAATTTTGAGGGTAGAAACAGACTTCACCTTTTATCACCTTTGTACTGCCACAAAAAAAATGTATAGTGGCACAAAGGCCAACAAACAGACGTCAATACTTCTTTTCATACCACAAATACCCAAAAATTGTGGCTATGACAAAGTTGGTATCAATCCGTGCTGCTATTTAGCAGTAGATGTGCATTTACTTTATGGTATGAGACACTGGGCAGCCTGGATGGCAATCCAGGGGCTTGAGAGGCCCAGTCCCACACACCTTGGGAATTCCCAAATAGGACTGGGATCCTCAAGCGACGGGGGCTTTCCCTGCTTACAGACATGTGCCTCCAAGAATCTTCAGGGTGCATCTCTGTAAGCAGGGAAAATCAGGGCTTCCCCACATTCTGAGATACATCCCTGGGATCTCTGGGGCACATCTCCATAAGTGGAAAAAGTCAGGGTTTCCTTGCTTACTGAGATGCCCCCTGAATATGCCAGAGGCACATCTTTGGAAACAGGGAAGCACAGACTTTCCCCACTTACAGAGATGTGCCCTGGAGATTAGTGGGGGCATGTCTCTAAGCAGAGAAAGCTGGATAGGTGCTCCCAAGGCTTGAGGGGTTCAATCCTGCCTGGGAATTCTCAGCATGTGCAAGACCAGGCCCTTCAGGCACTGGGAGAATGTCCCATTTTCTCATGGCATCAACAGAAGGGACATCAGGCAATGTGTTTTCACCCAGACATATACTGGCATAGCTGATCTACTTAATTTGGCAATGTCTATTTCTAACCAGAGTTAGATAGACCCAAGTCCTTGCATTTAGACCTCAATTTACTCCAACAATGACAGATCTATTTATGAATTCCTTCTCTTGCTCCAATTCCACTTACATATCAGTTTTAAATATCTCATCTACACTTCCAAAGGGCTGCATTATTCTGCCTTTGGTCCTGTCAATGAATGCACACACACCCCCTTCCATATGAACTAGTATCTTTGATCCTGAACAAAATGCAATCTTCCTCATTTCAAATATAGCTCAGGTACCGTCAGCAGGAGCTATGACATGCAAGAGGAGGGGAAGGGTTTGCAACCCAGTCTGAACTGTATGCTGCTGCAGCTATACTATCAGTACTTGAACTAGCTAGTTTAAAGTTTGGAAGACTCCTGTTGTAGCTAGTTTCAAGTTAGATTTGGTATTACCTACATAAGCTGCAGTCTCTGCTGTGACTGCAATGTACACATGCTCTAAGAAATAAGGGAAGGCAGAGTGATATACAATCAAGCATATTTCCTTAAAACTTTATTACTCACCTGCAATTCATTACCCTGTTCTTTCTTTTTAATCCATGTTTTCCCTTGAGTTTGTGGATCTATCAAAAGTGGGTATCTAGTTGCTTTAGTAACAATGATGCCATTCTGAATTGAGAGTTCATCTCCTGGCAGCCCTTGCAGGTTCCACTCACTAATCTGGAAAAAAGAAAGAGCATTATTATGGCTTGAACTAAACCTCACTGGACATATTTACATGTGAAATTAAGACAGAGCAATAAACTCTGGTACAGTTCATGCTGGAATCAACTGTTCCTGGGCACAGTGCTTACATGTGCACCCAGGACCACAGCACTTTGAGCTGGGTAGAAGTCCCAGCCTGGCAGGAGGCCTGAGGGGTCAGTCCCGACCTGAGGTGGCCGAGGAGCTGGCTGGGGCATGAAGGTGCTGAAGTGCAGGGCTAGGGTGCAGGCAGCTCCCACACTTTAGCACTCTCATGCCCCAGCCAACCCCTGTCACCATCTACACGTGTGTTTCAGCACATGTAATTACCCTGCCATAGGACAGTAGCGTCCCCAGCAGTACCATCCTATGATGGAGTTAATAAATTTACTGCATCCTAATACCAACACATGTATAGACTGTGACTCTTTACTATGGAGCTAACTAGTCAACTTGCAGGGAAGCGCATATGTGGATGCACCCACTGAAACTGACGAAGAGAGGTAAAAGAGTGTAACCAAAGCCCTTCATTTTAGGGTATGGACGGGCACAAAAAGCAAAGGTACAAGCATTCAAGCAGTTTGTGGCAAAAGGAACCTAATGACTCCACCACAAACATCTAGCTTTAAGTAGCAACTTTTCTGTCTTCTATTGCCACATGTAACTCTTGTTCGGTTACACGTGGCAGGATGGGGGTCCTGCTGTATTCCACAGTTCTCCACTCTCTCTCCCCTACCTTCCATAGGGGATGGAGGGAGGGAGACTGGCTAGCTCCCTAATAACCTGCCCTGTGGTGAGCTGTCAGTGAACCCTATGGGGACTCTGCTGTTCCAAGGTCTTGGGTCTCTTCAGGATGGTTCAAGCAGCAGCGCCACTTCCCTTAACACCTTGCATGTTCCTAGATCTTCCTAGGACCATGTAAGGGGGGGTCATAACTCCACAGTTTGAACCATCCTGGAGACAGACCTGGAACAGTTCAAGCAGCAGTGCCACTGCTCCTCAACCCCTGAACATCCTGGGGATACTTGGTGGACTGTGCAAGGGGCGTGGTGAATGCCTGGGACTTGGGGGGGGGGCAGAGATGGTAGTGGGGAAGAAGAGCAGTTCTGATCACCCCTGCCACCCTTAGAGGGCACATGGTTATTGTTGGCAGCTGCCGCCTTTCAACAGCTGCTAGCTGATGACTCACTGATAGCCTGTCCCATTCCCCAGCAGGGGAGAGGGCAGGCTGTTAATGATCAGGCTCCCCTGTCAGCAGGGGCCAACCAAAGAGTTGCCCCCTATTACTCCTCAGCTGGATAGCATGTGACTGTAGCTCTCCAACCAGGGAGCTGGAACATCAGTATGGCTCCATTCGCACTATGCTTTTGTGGCACTGGAAATATTTTGTGCTCAAACAGCACAACTGTCTATATCTCTAGACAACTGTAAAAAACAAGAGAGACCTCAAAACAAAACACAGCCTGTAATACCATGTAAAACAAAGGTTATTGGAAATTGCTCAAGAATTTGAGCTAAATGGAAAGAGGGACTTTTCTGCCTACTTCTTTTGAGGATGTTTGTGTACGTAAAGGAGAAGCAAAAATGTAGAAAAGTTGAGAGAAGAGGCTGCAAAGAAGTATTAGATACAGCTTGAACAAGCACCAGGGGTCTAGCTGAGTTAAAGTTTTCTGGTCCGAGCACTGTGATGATCACCTTTAGTTCTTTAATATATTTAATGAAATCTATCTATACTTTGCTCAGCAATGTAATATCTAATAGGAGCCAGTAAGAGCTTTGATATTTTGCTGTGCTATATTGCTAAGTAATTAGAGAAAAATGGGTATCAGTGATTATTCTTTAGAATCATAGAAAATTAGAGTTGAGGGGGACATCAGGAGGTCATCTAGTCCAACCCCCTGCTCAAAGCAGGACCATCCAACTATATTACTCCAGCCAAGGCTTTATCTAGCCATGGACTTTCGTTTAAAAACCTCTAAAGATGCAGGTTCCACAACCTCTCTGGGTAACCTGTTCTGGTGCTTTACTATCCTCCTTGTGAAAAACTTTTTCCTAATATCAAACCTACACTTCCCTTGCTGCAATTTGAGATGATTGCTGCTTGTTCTGTCACTTGCCACCACTGAGAACAGTCCAGCTCCATCCTCTTTGAACCATGTTTCAGGTAGTTGAAGTCTACTATTACATCCCCTGCTCAGTGGGCACATCTACACATGACACTATGGTGACATAGCAACATACTATGGCAACATAGATTCCTCAGGCAAAACCTGTGATGCTGCAGCTATGTCGCCATAGCAACATGCTCCCCCATGATAGCACATTATTATGGCGATATAGTACCTAAAAATAACCGTGCGCGGTGAGCGCAGCACAGTAACGGCTGTTACTGCCCTGTCTTTTAGTACTTCAAAAGGAAGTACTAAATGATAGCACAGTAACAACAGCACGACAGCATCATGTGTAGATGCACCAAGTCTTCTCTTTTCCACATTAAATAATCCCAGTTCCCTCAGCCTGTTCTCTTAAGTCATATGCCCCAGCCCTCTGAACATTTTCATTGCCCACTGCTGAACTCGCCAATTTGTTCACATCCTTTCTTTAATGGGGGGCCCAGAACTGAACACAGTACTCCAGATATGGCCTGACCTGTGCTGAAAAGGGGAATAATCATTTCCCTTGATCTGCTGGCAACACTCCTACAAATGCAGCCCAGTATGCTGTTAGCTTTCTTGGCAACAAGGGCACACCATTGGTTCATATTCAGCTTATTGTCCACTGTAACCCCCAGGTCCTTTTCTGCAGAGCTACTGGCCAGCCAGTTGGCCCCCAGTCTGTACCAGCATATGGGATTGTTCCGTCCTAAATGCACGACTATACACTTGTCCTTGTTGAGCCTCATGAGATTTTTTCTGGACCAATTATCCAATTTATCCAGGTCTCTCTGAATCCTAGTCCTACCCTCCAATGTATCTACTACTCCTCCGAGCTTAGTGTCATCCACACATTAGCTGAGGATGTATTCCATCCCATCTTCCAGGTCACTGATTAAAATATTGGACAAAACTGGTCCCAGGACTGACCCCTGGGGCACTCCACTTGATACTGGCTGCCAACTAGATAGAGCCATTAACTACTATTCTTTCAGCCCAGTGATTCAGCCAGATTTCTATTCACCTTACAGTCCATTCATCTAACCCGTACTTCCTCAGCTTACTGGTCAGAATGTTGTGGGAGACTGTCCTAAGTAAATGTTATTGCAACCTTAAAAACTATTTATAGCAATAGTGGAGATAAAAATTATGAAGAACAGAATTTAGCTTTGTTCGTTTGAGTGTCAATTTTCAGAATGATTTTTCAAGTTATGGTTATTTTTATTTATAAAGTTGGTGCTCAAACTCAGAAAACTAAAACAAAATGCTGAATGGTCTTTAAAGTGTATAACTTCATAAATCCAGATATCAAAAATCTGGAATTATCAAAAATCCAGCACTTCCTCCTGCTGCTCCCCCCAGCCTCCCAGACACGGAGGGGGACGCTTGCATGTGGCAGCTGCTGCTGCCACACACCACCCTGTGCTGGCACTCTGCGTGCGGCTGACGTTACAGTCCCCACCCCCCTGCCCTGCTCCATAATGGGCCACTGCACCTGTTTAAAAAATCTGGCATTTTCACATTTCCAGCAGGTGCTCAGTCCCAAGCATATCAGATTTATGAGGTTATACTGTAGTCTGTTCTTATTAAGTATTAATATCATAATGAAAATGTACATTAAAATTAACTGTATACTAAAACAACAAGATACTAACTTACCGTTGGTGGATCTACCAACATTGAAATTAGATTCAAGTTTTCAGTAAAAGGGATTTTCCGGTTTCTCATCTCTGCTTCCCATAAATCTTTAAGCAAAAGGTTCCGAAAATTTTGATTAAAAGGCCCACAATAGGAAAGGAATCCCGTGCAGAGCAAAACATCTCCCACAAGTCTAGAAAAAGAACAAAACTACAATTAAAAGGTACAACTTCCAACCCCTGGAGTTGAACAACAACATTTTAAAACATATATATTATAAAAAAAGGCAACTGGGTTTTTGGTTGTAGCTGTGTTGGTCTAAGCACATAGGCAGGCAAGGTTCTTTGGGTGGATGTGATATTTTTTATTAGACCAACTGACTACTTGGAAAAAAGTTCTTAGCAAGTTTTCGGGCACAGTTACCCTTCTTCAGGCATAGGGAGTCTCTGCTGGTCTGAGACTCCAAGGAATGAGAGAAGCTAAAAGTGTGGCAGGATGTCAGTGAAAATGTAAATAGGTAGAAATTAGGGGAAAAAACGGTAAAGCAGGTAAGGGAGGGGCAAGAAAGAAGAGAGAAAAAAGGCCAAAGGGAGACAACAGCAATATAATACAAGGTAGAAAAAAAGCTGTCTGTGAAAAAGGAAATAGTTGGAGATCATGAAAACAGGAACAAGAGAAGTGAAAAGTGAGACAGGAAGTTAGTGAAAATATAAATAGGTAGAAATTAGAAAAACAAAAGGTAAAACAGGGAAGGGAGGGGGAAAAAAGCAGGGGGGAAAAAAGCCAAAGGGAAACACTACAGTGATAATAATACAAGCTAAAAAAGACACTCTCAGTGAAAAGGAAATAGTAGGAAATCAGGAAGACAAAAGGCAGAAAAGTAGGGGAGAAAAAGGGAGAAAAGGTGGGGGAAAAGAAGAATGTAAGAGGTCAGGTCAGGTAGATACCTGCCTGACCTGACCTCTTATATTGTTCTTCTGTTTTTTTCTAATTTGTATATTTTGACAGATACAATACCTGTTAATCTGAGCTCTGAACTCTTTACTTTGCTGAGTCCATCTAACTTTCTCTCCACTCAGACCATCTATAAGCGCAGAAGCTGCTTGCATCTTTCTCCTGCATGTTTCTGCATCATTCAACAGGTCCTAAAATTGCCAAGTCATTCTAGCTTATTAAACACTCAATTTCTAAAATTCAAAAGCCTATATTTACAAAACCTATAACAATATTTTTGAGAACACCCAACTGATTGATTCTTGTGTATAAATGAAAAAAAAAAAGAGAACTGAGGGAGTAGAGACCTGCCTTGGAAGCCCCCACAGACGATTCAAGGCAATGGGCTCTGGATGGATGTACAGCTTTATCAGTGCCTGGCCCCCATGTTTCAAGCCAGGGTCTTTTATTAAAATAAAAAAAATTCCTTTAGGTGAGTTTAAAAACTTTAGAACTAAACCCAGATGAGTAAAAAGGTACTGTATTAAAAATGCACATAGTCCCTGAGATAAGAAAGGGGTTAAAAGAGACTGCATTTGCCATTCTAGCATTGGCCTAATGCCTGAGAATTCTAAAGCTTGTCAAGCAAACATATATTATGTTTATCTTGTCTTTTAACTTATTCTGATCTGACTGAATCAGTAAGAACAAATTAGATAACTCTAAAATTTCTGCATGCAAACAATGTTTATATTAATACAATATTTTTATCTCACCATTTTCTCCTTCATTGCTGCATCAAACTTTGCCTGCACTTTATCCAGCTCAGCTTGTTTCTCATCTAGTGCCTCCTGAGCCTGGGCTAACTCTGCATTAGCTACTTTCAGACGCCCTTCTTGTTTTGCCAAGTTAGCCTGAGAATAAAGAATAATTAGACAACAAGTAAGCATTTATAATCTATTTTAAATCTATTATTTCAGGCCTGTTTCACTACTTATCAATATGGACTTACGATATGCAACTCTTGTTATCAAATAATCACTGACAGTGTATGTTATCTTTATTAAATAAAGAGTATGAATACATATCTTTAAATTATTTCCTTTATCAATTTCATTTAAATCCATTCATTTAAATCTGCAGTTAATAATTATGTAATCATTTAGCTTTCTGTTCCCTACTATCCATTTTCTTTATGTTTTAAAATGTATTCCAATCTACCAAGATATCAGATAACTTAGTGAACAAGACAGAACCATACAGAAAAGAACCAAGCAATGGATGGTAAATTATTGATCTGTGACCTTGATTATCTTGGAAATGAGAACCATAACTCAGCTTTATTGTTTAGATCTCGAACTTATTTATTTAATTTGTGTGCTCCACAGTGGTGAATATTTTTGTGCTCAGGAGACCTGTGAGTGATCAGTACCAACATACCTTCTCAGCCAGTAAGAAATACACCCCTAGACCAAAGAGCCACACAATTACTGCCAAGTATATATTTATATTAATTTCAGAATAGACTTTTGACCAGTGTTTTCGATCACTACCCCGCAATACTGTTGCTCTTGTAGTATGATACTATTTTCAATTACAACAAGTTTGCTGGCTGAAGCTCTGAAATCACTGTGCAGATTTCCCCCTACGTTTCACGTTACTAAACTTTTGAGAATGAAGTTCTATTAAAATCTCATAAATCTGCAGGTATCATGAAGGCCCTTGCCAGGTTCTTTCATAGAAACATCAGAAAGAATGGTTACTCATTCTACAGTAACTGTGGACCAATTTGAGGTGGTGCAGTAGAGCAACACAAATTATCAGAAGTCTAGAAAAGAAGAAAACAGTTTTTATTGTAGGGCTGCATCCTTTGTTTCAGTTGAAGCTGGCTCTTGAAAGAGTTAACGTTATGTTAAAGTGCATATCCATAGTGACCTCAGTGTTCCCTTTAATTCCTGAGTGAGTGCAGTGCTGTACCCCTCTAGTTGCTGAAGAACTCTATTTGACACCTCTATAATCACCTGCCTTTGGAGTATTGGATACTTGCTCCCAAGAAATGAAGGCTCACTATTCAGAGCAGGAGCAAAGTAACCATTACTTACCTTTACCCTATATAATCTACAAATATGTATCACTTATGGGACATGTGTGTACATACTACATTCAAGTCAGAGATGTCTGGTCAGCAGTATGTGTTTAGTGGTGCATGCATGCTGCACACATACTTCTGAGGCAGTAACACTGGCTAGAAGAGTGAGAAAACTGCAAACCCAAATGACAGGCTCCTCCTACTACATTTTCCACATACACAGAAAAAGACTTTCGCCTAATATGCTACAGTGAGAGTAAATGGACATATGGATGTTAGGTAAGTGTGTGTTAAAGACTAAACCTGAGCCATACATTTCATATCTATAATGTCTAATACACATCAATCTTCTGTAACAGTATTTGAGAAATGCTTAAATTAGTCTGGTGGTCAACATGGAGATGAGATGGTAAGTTCATAATAACCAGGTGAACAGTTGAATTTTCTGCCTCAGGTATGAAGAGTGGTAGGTGATATGAAGTCTTTGCAAAGAAAGGATTGTCTCATTGAAAACTTTAATAATTTCTTTAAAGAATCCATTCCTCTATTATTGGTACACCTATGGTGAGCCTGTGGTTTCTAATACTTTTAATACTTTTGCCTGGGAGTTGGTGTGTGTGCTTCTAGAATTCAAAAGGGGTTGTTCTTAAAACTCTGAGGGCAAGGAAATTTCATATGTCTTCTCATTAAAAAGATTATAGTTCACAAAGGGAAAATCATCCATGGGAATGCAAGAGGAGCGGTGCCAGGAAGATTTATGTTGTTACTGATTTAGATTCTGTATCTGCTGTAATGGGGGCATTTTGCAGCAATGTTCTTGTGCTTACCTGTGGTTTTGGTAGATAGATTTCTCCCTGGGTCTCTATGGTAATTTATCAATTAATTACAACATCAGATCCAAATTGACAAAACTGTATTTGTCAATTCCAGTTCAGTAGTTCGAGGTCCATGTTCACAGCCTGGAGGTGTAATAAACCTGCCTCACAAGTCTGTGAAGTGTGTGGTATTCTTCTGAAGGACAGACTGTAGCCTGCTGTT